CCAAAGAAATCAGCAAACCAAAGGGACCATTTATTTAGCTGTCATATATAGATATATATATATATATATATATATATATATATCTATATATATATATATATATATATACACTTTAATAAGCATTTAGCCTCAAATGCTGAATTTTAAGAGGTACAAAATCAAATGCAAGTTGTACAATGAATTTATGCATTGAATCTTATTTAGTCAAAGGTCAAACTTTGAATAGTCTCACTTATATCCCTTAAAAATCTCCACCTAATTAATGTGAATCAAACCGGTCAAAATGAAGACTTATTCCCAATCTATTCCTTGAAATAGGGGAATCGAGTCTTTTTTTGAATCCGAGATCTTGGCAAATATATATGTGGATTCTGGTGATCCTCCCTTATATCTTGCGTCTTCCTGTTGAACTTCTCATTCACCTTCCTCAAATTCCACACTATTTCAGTGGCTTCCTATATCCCTCTGTCTCCCGCAAAAAGAAACGTCGCCTCTCCCCTTCCCACAGAACTAGCCTCCTCCACCTTTCATGCAGTCACCAACGCTTCCCACGAATGTGAATTGAAAAAAGACAAATCAATCACAGACCCCATTCATAAATTGTTCAAATTACACACGTCTCAACGAAACCTAGATCACCCCCTTGAAGATAAACTCACTCTACAAGAAAAACGCCACTCTCCAGCAAAAAAGGTAAATACTTTGTTTATGTTCTGAAAGATACGTGTTAGTTTCGTTGCTTCTCCTTCATTCATTTTGTTGTTTATACTCGTAATCAATTTGCCCTCTTTTTCCTTATGTTTCTTTCTGTATATTACAGAATCGATCCGATTGAGGTATCTATTTCATTAATTTTAAATTCACAAAAACAAAGCGAATAATACAATTAGTCCGTTCTTGGTTGATGTTTGATACTTTTTTTAGGGTTCCAATGCAAGATAAAGTCTTTATAATACAGACACCTTGGTGTAACTTTCTCTAAGGTTGCATTCAAATTTGATTTTTTATGTTGATATCGATCCACCTGCTATGGTGGGTGCTTCTTTTTGTTGATTTTTTATGAACATGATTTTAGACTTCACACAATATTTTGATTTTCAGTGCGTTTTGTTTTCTCTAAGCCTCCAAACAAGCTCCTGCAATTCCTTTGAACAATGGATAAAGGTAAACTCTTTGCAATTTTTAGATTTTTTTTAATTTTCAGTAACAATTTTTGATTTGGGAAAGGTATTGCGTGTGTATATGGGGAATTTAGCTTCTAATTATCATTGTATATTGCATAACAAAATTAAATTTATGATTTTTGAATTGATGTTCTGAAAGACAATGACAATAGCATTGACATTTTTTTACCAGTATAGTATGCACTCGTGGCTGGACCTTGCTTGGCTTTTCTTATTCCTTACTCACACTCTCATTTTCCCTGATTCCCACAAGAGTTTTATCGTTATGCCAACACAATAAAATGACAATCTTACCCTACTGGATTATTTTTTCCGATCAACTCAATAATGTTGCTTATCAATTTCATTATATACTTTGTAGATGATATACTTACTAATGTTATTGGAGATGAGCCATCTGGTTGCTGAAAATAGACCCAAAAATGACCTGAAGTTCATTATTAGGTTAAAGGGTCACTCTGAAGTATGATCAGAAGTAAACAATCATGTGAGTCATGAGAGGAATCTCTCATGAACTATGGATGCTGAAATTTATTCCTTGCTAACTCAGGTTTAGAAATGGGTGGTGAAAGGAATCTTACCATCATGGAACAGCCACAACAAGCATCTCAATTCTCAATCTAGCAATGAGACATAATTTTTTGAGTTCCAGAGTTTGTTGAGAGTTAGAGAGAAATCAAGTTAATCAACTTCATAAAGCAAGTGAAATTAAGCAGCAGAAGTTAGAATAAAATGTTGACAAGGCTAATCAGTTCCAGGAATCTTTTTAATAATTATGTTACAAAGTAAGCAATTATGTGTTTTTTTGTATCTTATGCCTAATTTTTTGACAGAAGACCTTACTCTTTTTTTTTCTTTTGCGAATTTGTTTAAGGTGGACTCTCAGGTAAGATTCAAAGCAAAAACGGAAAAAAATCGATATTTTAGAAATCAGTTTTTAATAGTTGTTCATTTTTGTGCAGGTTTTGTAATCTGGGCCTAAGGTTTTGGAATTTGGACCTAATGGAATCATGTAATAACAGACTCACTCATTATTATGATGTTTGATGCAAATATTTGCAGTTTTATCAAATCCTAGAATAATCCTACAAGTTACTTGATTTAACATATTGTTTAATAATAATATTTGCAGGTTTTTGTCACTCAGTTACACTGCTTTGGCTACCCTGTTCAAGTTTTGGGCAAGTTTGTATTAAAGAAGACTGAACCTGTCCTTATCCAGTTTATGAACCTTTTGTTTATGATTTTGCTCTAAATGGGCTGCAATATTTGGTTCTTAGTTCATACTTCTGGAGAGAAATTAAAGGTTTGATTTCCAAATGATCTTAAAAATCAAGGAAAAAAGAAAATATCCTCTCAATATTTTATTACTGGTGTGTAGGAAACTGGCAGAAGAGGGACAAGAAAGGGGAAAAGATTTTTATATTCTATATTGTCTTAGAGATAATCATATCTTTTTTGGTTTTCTAGGATTGTGCATGTGGTTATTTCTTATATTGAGAGGACGCAAAGGGGTAAAATACTTATGTGAGAGGATTTATATGGAAGTAAACATGTTTATATGTTTTTCAATATGATTTGTTTACATATGTATGTTTGCAATTTCTTCAATTATCCCCTATCTCGGTCTCTCTATCTCTCAATTTGCATTTATGAACTCTGAATATGTGAATTTGACTGATTTTTTGAAGGTTGCATTTTGTGATCCTTGCAAACAACAACGCTCCTTCCCCATATGGAGTTCGGAACCCAAAGGCAATCGTTGAGTGAACTGTATCTTCTTTGTGTTAGTTAACCTAAGCCGCACCCTTACTGCTGGGGTGGGGATCGGCCTCCGAACATTTTGTCCCATTGATACAACCTTAAAGCCTATACTGTAACCTTTTGTATATATTCTTGTATGTTGTCATTATGATTTGTTATTACTGCTTAATGACAGCTTTGTTTCTTGCTGTTTTATTAAAGTCATACCAGCAAACGCAAACATTATGTTTCTTGCTTTTGTCGGTTGTGCTCAAAGAAAACATTATTTCTTTCTTTTGTAGTAGGGCTTATCATTGTCATTTATGTACACTATGTAATGAGGATGGTAATGGAAGTTGTTGCTTACTAGGTGATGTCTAGAATCAAAGCTACAATGCCGATTGGTCTTTGTGTAAAATTGTATTTTGATGTGGAAGATATAAACCCTTTGGATTTGTTATTTTTTTAAGACAAAACATATTGTCGGCAATATTGGAAATTCATTTGTCAAAGATTATACATAAATTTACATGAATACATTTATGATGCTTACTACTACTAATAATTGAGCACCTTTTGTGTACTTTAGCAACAAAAGTTTATTTGCTGGAATTAACAATCCTGTATAAATATAATACGATTCATTAGAAAATAATAAATACATACATGTAATCAAGGGATTTGGGCTATAAGTCGTAAGTATCCCCCTGTATTTTCATTTCTTTTCTTTATATCTTTCTCTTTTAAATTTTGTCCCTATAGTTTGCTGTTTTTTGGTGTTTTGGTCCCTATGGTTCCGAAATTATAAATAATCTATTTTCAACAAAATGGATACAACATTTGCAAGCACTTATACAACATACATAAAAACGAAGAATACGTTGTGCGTTGAAAATAAAACAAATCGTTGAATTGAAACTAATGTTTGGCTATACTTGTCAATACATTGTGTCTTATTTTTAATTAGAAATTGCCCATTCTCACTCCGCAGGGACGCATGGTAATTTCCAATTGCCTTTGCCAAACTTTTAATTTCCGATATCCGTTTTCATGAGATTACATTGTGTCTTATTTTTAATGACATGTTTCTTAAAACAAATTAATCGTTGAATTGAAATTATTCATTGTTCAATAAATAATCGACTCTACAAACTAATTTCTACAAACTATTAGCCCCTGATTGGACTAAATGCAAGAAATAGAAATGTACTTTCATTTGTTTGTATAATTATAGAATCTAATTTTCAATTCTAATTTTAACTTTTTTTTAAATACTGTTTTTAAGACAAGATAATAACCTTTTCTTGATTAACCATAAAAAAAAAATAAACTGCGGCATTTGCGAATGAACAATAAACACCGAAATGAAACGATTTGTCGAAAAGTAACTGGTGTTCCTTGAAATATAACATGTTTCTAAATTGAAATTATTGTCGAAATAAACTATTCGCACCCGTCGGTTGGCGTGGGTAAACGGCTAGTATATATATATATATATATATATATATATATATAATATATATATATATATATATATATATATATATATATATATATATATATATATATATTAGAAAATGAAAACTTAAGATAAGAGATTTTGTAATCAAATAATACATAAGGTTTAATATTCTTCGAGATAGGTCATTTCAAATTGGGTTTTTTACAAAAATAGTGGTTTTGACCCAAAAATTGGGTGCTAATAACAATAATCCTTATCAAGATAGGTCATTAATAAGTTTATGGAATTTTCTTTCATCAGTTTTCCAAGAGATACTTTTATATGCATATTTTATGCGACATATCATTATGTCTTTTTATGTCATTTTAATTTTCTATCTAGTTCATTATTTAATCTTTATCAAAATCTTTTTATGTCATTTTAATTTTCTATCTAGCTCATTATTTAATCTTTATCAAACGCTTTTGCTTCGACAACTATTTTACACACCAAACAAATCCTAATCCATAAAAATGAATTATTGGACTTAAGTTTCATACTAAATAGTTAATACCTACAAACAAGTTTTTCAAGCTGAAAAAATGCTTATTTGAACACCAATTAAAGATCACAAAAGCATCCAAACAATCAAAAAAGTATTAAGCTTGTGTACATTCCAAAACACAACATTCTTTGGATCATTTTATACATTCTACAACATAATCAAACAAAAAGATAAAAACACCAAAAGTGGCTCTATATCAACAACTACTCATCTTCATCTTCATCATCTTCAAATTCCTCCTCTTCATTATCTTCAACATTTTCATCTCCTATATCCCCATCATCAACTATGAATCCACCCAATGTTTCATCTTCTTCATCTTCATCTTCATCAACATCATCATCACCATAATCATCCTTTGCATACTTCTTTGTAGTATACATGGCACTTTTACTTGTACTTGCACCCTTCTTGTTTTGCTTTTGCTCCTTTGATCTAGTTGAGTACTTGGGTTTTGGGGCATTTTTCATTTTCTTGATAATTTCAGCATCTTCTCCACTCTCACCAGTCCACACTTCATCATCGTCATCCTCTCCACTCTTCTTCCTCCTTTTCCTTGTACTCTTCTTCCTTTTTCTCTCATTAACTTCCTCTTCATCGCTCTCTTGTTTGGGTTCTTCAAGAAACCAATCCCAATTACTTACATCGCTGAGCATTTTCTTTGGGTAGTGATCAAATTCATGTCCCACAACAACAAAACCAAACTCTACATTTCATCACCAAAAGAATTTAATCAATAGAAGCAGAGAGAAATCGAACATTCGTGGAGAAATTTTGCATGAAACTATAGATGCTTGATTATGAATATTCTTGTCACGACTTGTAGAATCAGACAATGAAGATAATCAAATAATTAAATGTTAAATTCTGGTTTTCTGTAAAAATGATCTAATTTGAAGTTCCAAAACGCAAATCATTGAGCATTGGTTAAAGTTTTCTAAATGGATGATTGATACGATACGAGCATTATGATATTGCAAGTCTGGATGCCTAATTCTATTGCAAACTGCAATTAAAAACCCTAGATGAAATCCACAAATTGTTAATTACATGTCTACAAAGTGTTATTTTACCAACGGAAACCACAGTAACGAACGCACCTTTAACAGCATCGATATGTGAAATATCACCAGTCTCGACTTCATCGTATTCAATCCCCGAAGTCTCTGCGAATGCTTCGTCAAGACTGAGTTCGCTCTTCGATTCACTGTCGTCTTCGTTTTCGCCTGCGATTCTCTTCACGTTAAACCAAACAGGATTCTTCGAAGCCACACAAAACGAATCTCCGTTCTTAATTTCACCTCCTTCCGAACGTTTGTAAACCCTAATTTCATCGTTTCTACGGTCGCGTACCCAGACGGGGTTTTTCCCATTAACTTCGAAATAAACTCTGGTTCGATCTTCGTGGAGTTTGAAAGAAATATGGTGACGAGAAATTGCTCGATCACTGGAAATAAACCCCAATTCTCTTCCGAAATCGAAGGTTTCAGAGCCTTCTTCGAGCCGGATTTTGGAGCTACTTTTGCTCTCGATTTCCATGTTTTTAAAGTTTACCGCATTTGCCGACACGTCGGTATTAGATAGGGCTGTTCACTAAATCGATAAAACGTAATTGTCCCACAATTTGGTTCGGATAATTGAATTTTTGGGTTGGTTTTTAGCAAAACCGAGTTATTATTTTGGATTTCGGATTGGTTTTGCTTTATAAAATAAAAACCGAATAGTCCAAAAAATCGAATAACTATTTATCATTTGTTTATTTATATACATTGTTTGTTTTTAATATACATCTTTTAATTATTTTTTAAGTGTAAATTGTTTTTTTTAAATAGATTTGAATGTATTACCCAATAAAAAACATAAGTATGTACTTCTCAAATGTTTTTATCTATAGAATATTAAATGATAACATATTTTTCTTAACGGTTGTTCTTAAATTTTAATTCACAATCAAACAATTTATTTTTGTTTAAACTTGTCTAACATTCAAGTTTTATAAATTTTAAATGTTACGCCTCTTGAAAACCGAATTATTAAAACCGATACAATCGAATTGTAATTTGGTTGGTTCGGATCATATTTGAATTTAGTTTGGATTGTTCGGATCCATGTTTTGAAAACCGAAATCCATTTGGATTCACTTGATTGGATCGGATCGAACCGATTCATCCAAACGAACACCCTTAGTATTAGCTATTTAGATGACGTTGGTCTGGCCGACCCGCTTCTTCCTTTTAAAATTTTTTAATTCCCACGTATGGTGATGATATCTAGAGTCGGGCGGGCGGAGGGCGGTTTAAAGAAGTTACCGACGGTACAATCAAGATCACGATCACATGGTGGATGGTATTGTGTTTTTTGTGGGTGGAACGTCTTGGGTTTGGCTAACCCGTTACCTCCACTCTTTTTCTCTCTTCTCTACTTTATATAGGGACACAAAAACCAAGTTTCAAAGTAATCAAGCTAGGCTCGTTTAAAGTTACTAAAACTCGAGCTCGTTAACAGTTTGGAAGCTCGAGCTGCTCATTATACCTAATAGGTATGATCATATTAACCAAAAAACCGAACCAAAACCAAATTAACCAAAATAACTGAATCATTACTAAAAAAGATGGTGCGGTTTTTATTTTTAATTAACCAAGTACATATGGTTCGATTATGCTTTTCATCCAAAACCGGATCACTAAAAACCGAACCGAACCGAACCAACAATGTTAATAAATGTTTTTAATATAATATAATATTAAATATATGGTATGTAATTATATTTGGAATTGAAAATTTAAAGTGTAATTATTTGGAATTAAATAGGAACCTAATCTTCTATCATATTAAGAGCATCACCAACCCACTTTCATTCTTCATTATTTCCCTTATTTCTTCATCCATTTCTCTCCAACCCTACCCCATTTATTCCCCCATTTTGGGGGAAATGAATAGCATAACACCAAATATGGTGTTATGCTATTCATTTCCCCCAAAATTGGGATGAGCTTTGAGTTGTCGGTTTTAGTCCCTCGTTTTGTATATTTTTACATTCTTGGTTTTCTATCTACTAATTATTATTTAAATGTAATATTTAATATTTATAATATTGTGTTATGTATTAAATTATATTAATTAATTATATATATAAAGTTTTTTTTTTTGTTTATCAAATTCATATTAAAATTTAAATACATATTGAAATTTTAAAACACAATAACGTATTTTACAAAAGCTTATAATTACGTATTATAAATATAATCTTATTTACTTAATATTATTGTAATGAAAAAAATATAGATTATATATTTGTTAAAACCAAATTAATAGAAGGGGTGTATATGACAATTTATATAAGTTAGAAGAATGAAATATTATTTTTAGGGGTAAAAATTGGAGTTGAGTTGGAGATAAAACATTATTTACCCCATTTTTTACTCCATTTTTGGGGAAAAAATGGAAGTGGGTTGAAGATGGTTTAATACGGTTATAAACATTGAATCGTTCACTTTTTTATAGTAAATTATACGAATGGTCCCTATGGTTTGGGGTAATTTGCACATTTGGTCCCTAACTTTTTTTTAACTCGGGAGGTCCTTACTGTTTGTTTTTATTACGCGTTTGGTCCCTACTATTTGTTTTTGTTATGCGCTTGGTCCCTGTCTTACCTAAAAAGACTATTATTTAAATAGGAAAAATGGTGACGTAGATAAGATAAGGTGATGGGGTGGGGTTGGAGGTGTGTTTATTTAAATAAATTAAAAAATCAATGGCAAAATAGTCTTTTTAGGTAAGACAGGGACCAAACGTGTAACAAAAACAAATAGTAGCAAGGTTGTAGAACTCGTTACTCGGTACCTGCTCGGCCGACTACCGAGTAGCGAGTACTCGGGAGTACTCGGGGAGTACTCGGATTCGGTAATTCATGTAGAAATATTTTTAGGGACATTATATGTGTCAAAATCATAAGTTGATTGAAATATATAACAAAATTAGATACATGTGAATACACAGAAACTGAAAAACACATAATGGTCTCACTTCGTGAATAATTACTGAAAATTTAAAATATATATATATATATATATATATATATATATATATATATATATATATATATATATATAATCACATGTGTGTGTTAAATAATAAATCGTTAATTATATTATACATATTAATCACCGAGTTGACCGGGTTTTACAACATTGCTCAGTTCAGTAAGGGGCCGGTCGGGGAGTACTCGGGATTTTGCCACTCGCCTTGGTAAGGGTCCGAGTAGCGAGTACTTGGAGGATTAATCGGCCAACTCGGCGAGTTTTACAACACTGAATAGTATGGACCTTCCGAGTTAAAAAAATAAGTTAGGGACCAAACATGCAAATTACCTTAAACCATAGGGACCGTTCTTGTAAATTACTCCTTTTTTTTTAACAATGTACGTTTTTCAGTTTTTATAGAAAAGTACTTTTATTTTTATCTCATTTTCGACCATTATGATTAATCGATATTAACCATTAACAAAAAAAAATCGTTAACCAAAATCAATACCCAATGACTACCAAAATGTATTAACCACTTTTAATGGTTATGGTTCGGTTTTAACTAAAAACCAAACCAAACCGTCTCATACACACCCATAATACCTAGTTTCTTAAAAGTCTAATATCTTATTTTTCAACATGCAAGGATAAAATAGAACTCTTGCATGCTCTCAAAACTCAACCAAAAGATCATATCTAAAGTCTAAAATGATTCAAAGATCATGGAGTTGTCCAAACTCCAACGATCAAACCATTAAAGGGACTAAAACACTAAAACACCATTATCTTCCAAATCCAGAGATGAAATGTAACACCCGTTTTTCTGGATGAATCGAATTAGGGTATCAAGGAGTCAGAAGTTTGTATTTTGAAAGAAAATGAGCCTCACGGCATGAGACATAGAGGCTCATGACGTTTGACTTGACCATTCCACCAGGTCAATGCTCTGTCGGTGAAAGTGCAAGCAGCGAAATTCACCTTGTTTGCTTTGGAACAGGCGTAAATTTCGAAGATGGATTCGATCTTCTCAAACCATCGAGTCAGGGCAATAACGCCTCCATTGTCGTCGAAGGATTTGGGATTCGCGTTCATGAAGTCATTGTAGGAACACTCCTGTTGATGTCCCTGATCACCGAGGTTCTGGGGATGAGTACCACTTCCGGATCCACCAGAGTTTACTTGCGCCATTGCTGCAGTCACGGCGGCTGTAACTGCTGCCTGGAACATAACAGAATCGAACTGAGGAGGTGGCGGTGGCGGAGTGTCGTTGTTCCTTCTGGTGGGTCTTCTTCGGGGAGGCATCTTGTTCTAGAACAATCAGGAAGGAGAGGATGATAAGTCCCCTAAATTTAAAACAAGATATCTGAAACAAGATATATCTCATTCTGAAAGTTAAAGTATTCTACAAAGCGATATCTAGAGAAGGGGGTTACTAATGCAAGTAACTATCACTAAGATGAAATATGTAGCAACACTTGGAATGAATCTCTATATTGTATTCGGCTCTAGCTAAAATACTCCTATATTATTTTAAGTTGTATGTTTCGTTCTATCCATATCTGATGTATATATATACTTGGTAAGTTTTAGGCTTGCTGCAACACCACAGTCTCTCCCAAGCACATGTTGGTCATGTCTCGAATAAATATAGTTGATCAGGCTGTATTGACCCTAGACATGATTACATAACTGCCCAGGTTTAACCGCAGTGTCCAACATCCAAATACTTTTGTTTTGTTCTACCTAAGACTCTGGTTCTGTTATGTATGTATATTTGTATACTTCTTATAAAATACTTATATTTTTAAAAGTATACTTTTAGTTCAGAGTACTTCAGCCCCTTAGTGTTTATAGTTGTATACCATGTAAGGTTCGGTATACTTAGTTCACTATAAACAAGAGCTTTGATACCAATCTGTCACACCCCCAAACCGGAACGGCGGAAACGTTTGGGTGTGGATGACGTCATGTGTAGTATCACAACAATTGTATCACAGCAATCATAGTAAACACAACCATTACACTGAATACACATATGAAAAAGGTTTACATCTGTTTAAGTCTTGTTTGAATACATCAAAAGTGTAAGTAAAATATAAAGACATGAATTTAGTTGCTCCGACTTCTCAAAACTCCAGGAGGTACCTGTCTACTGATTTCCTGAGAATACAAGCAATTTTGAAAGAGTATCAGCATAAAGCTGGTGAGTTCATAAGCGATGTTTTGTAGTGATAATCTTTGAAATGAATTTGTAGAAATGTTTGTATGTTTCCAAGAAAATCCAATATTTTCTTAAGTAATGAAATGTAGTCTTAAACCCTAAGACCAATTGTAAGTTCGTCATTGAATTCTGTTCTTATGTCTGAAAGTACTTGTATGTATGTCTGGTACCACCAGCTGTATTGTATTGTCTTGTATGAAAGTTCTTGTATGAAAATCCATGGCTACCACCAGTAATGTAAGTATCGTATAACATGAAAACCCTGACTAACACCAATATGTATAGTATGAAAACCCTGACTAACACCAGTATGTATAGTA